AAAAAAAAACTAGAAGCTGATCTTCACTGTGTGCATGTCTCGGTCTTTTCTAATTTCTTTTCTATCCCCCTTGAATTCTGTTTTTTCTGTGAAGAAGAGGACTCTTTGGTCTCTGGAAAGAGCCCTAAGCCTCCTGCAGCTCCCCCCTCAGCGTCTGGCCCCAGAGCCACAAGGGTGAACACTAAGATTGTGGTCTACGGCCCCCAAGACGCTAGCTCTCCTCACTCTCAAGGTCCCCTCTGGTGCACTTTGTCCTACACCTCCATCTGTCTGCTTGCTTGTCTTAAACTTCACGCCGTGCTTTCCTCATTTCACAATTATGCAGAGTGGAAACTATGTGTGTATGCATGTGTGTACATGCATGTGTGTGTGTGAGTGTGTGTAGACTAGACAGAGCTATAGACCTTGGGTGGCTGTGTGTTTAAAGTGGATAGAAAGTTATTAAGTAGTCCTGAAGTTGTGGGTGATGTTTGAACTTACTGATTTATAAAGAGCAGGATGCTTCATTAATGGGGATAAAGAAAAAATATGTCATATAAGAAATTACATTTTTATTTTGTATGCTTCTGAATTGATTCACAAATTCCAAAAGTAATTTCTCTGCGGTTCCTCCTCCACAAATATGCTGAGCCGGCAGAACGGCTGTTAGGTATGATGGAGGAAAATTGAATTTAAACAGCCTGAATCTTCAGTGAAAGCAGGACTTTATTGGATATATTGGACTTAATAGTTGTACTTAAAATCTCCTGGGGGAAACAGGAACGTCACATGACTTCTACATTAAACACAGTTGGGGCACTACTTTCAGGATCTTACTGCACACTAACATAATAATGATTATTAGTCATGTTTTCAGTCTGAATATAAAATATAACAGGCAGTTGAACTAACTGGTTAAGGTCATTGCCTGAGTAAAACTTAGACAAATAAAAAGGGGAAAGTGTTTTTATTTAACTTTTTAATTTTTTTATTTTAGGTATAATATATAAAATATGTCCAAATAATATAAATTCAAATAAAATATAATGTATACATGCAGGATTTGCATAAGAATTCAAAATACATAATAATTCATTATGATTTCTTTCTACATTATCAGAATAATGTAGAAACATATAAATGTCCCATTATAGGTCAATAACTTATTGGTGCCGATAATCTGTAGTTCGTTAATATTAGCTAATATTAGCCACCATAAGCTACTGGTCCTACATGACCAAGTAAGACAGTAAAAGCCTCTGAAAAGTCCCTGAATGTACTGAATTTAGTGTTTGTTAACTCAGGAATTAAATATTCCCTTTGAAAGAAGAAGAATGCATTTCTCCTTTCAGATGTAAGACAGTCTTAATAGTCTCTTGAGACAAAGTGAATGATCACAGTAGCTTTCTAGTCACTTTATTCTTGTGTGAAGTGCAGTGCTTTAAACTGTAATTGAAAGAAGGTAAGAAAACCATGTCTTCCTCTGTATGTGAAATGCAGTCTGTCATTTGTACCTTTTACCTTGCCACCCCCCCTTTTCCATTTTCCATTTTGCCATGCTGTTTGGAACACGTGAAGCCGTCAGTCAGGATGAATGATTCGTCTGCTCCTTTAACTCTGTGTGTTTCCTCGCTTTGTGTCAGCAGTGCGCAGTAAAGCTGGAGCGAGCCACAGCGAGAAGAGCAGAGAGGCCTCCAGCCAGCGAGTGCAGCGGCAGCCCAGTGCCACCAGGGGGCAGAAGACCAAGAGCTCCGGCAGCAGTAGTTCCTCCTCTCAGATAAACTCCACATAGGACTCAGGTCAATACGAGACCGTTTGTAAATATGCTGTTCTTTTAACCTTTAATTTATCTGTATGTTTTAAAGGGTCGGTTCACCCAAGTAAAACCATAATCTCTCACTATTGTTAATTTTGGTTTTATTTGCCTTGGTTTTGACAATAACTGTGGCCTCTACCTCTAAAATGACACAGAGATGTCCAGATAACTCTCCGTCAGGGGTTTTCAAAGATAACACCGAGTAAATTGATACAAACGTGCCTCCTCCCAACACCCCAGTCTACTCAAAGAATAAGAATTACAAACTTTATACAGCAAAAAAAGTGCTTTTAATGGTTGAACCAGGATTAAAACTAATATGCTGTCAGAATTTGAGCCTTGTTTTTTTAAGCATGTTAAAAATGTAATTTGACACTGTTAAATGTATGCCGAATTAGCTTTTAGCACTTCCTGTTTGCATTGCACTCATGGATGTACAGACAGCTATCACAGGATCACTTAGATACTGAAGAAAAACCTAAAAGCTTGATGGTTTTCAGGCAAGTTCCGGAGTTATAAGGACTGCATAATAATAATCTATCTCTCTAATCTCTCTGAAAACCTCTGCTCTGGATAATCCACAGACCTCACTGTGAACAGTCTGCATAGGGAGTTTGGTTCAACAGACTAGTTCCAATGCAAACTGCTCACTGTGAGGTCTGTGATGAGAGACAGATATCTTAAAACTGGAAAAGCAAATAAAAAGCGACCTGCATGACCTAGAAAAATACTACTGATGTTAAGTGAGTAAATATGTGTTTTAGTTTTTTCTGTAATTTGGGTAAACCAATCCTTTTTAAAGTTCTAACAAAGTGTAAGAAAGTCCTGAGTGTCTCCTCATTCTCGTGCTGGCAGATGTTACTGTAAGTGAGTGAAGCCTTTTATCTGGTTGCCATGTAACTTTTATGAGAATGCAAAAAAACAAAGAAACAACAAAAATACTTAGGGTTTTTTTTTTACTGAAAAATAAAAATGTCTGTATTCAATGTGAAACCTTTTATATGATTAATCTTGAATAAATCCAATAACAATATACCCATTACATTTTTTACCTTTTTTATTGCTAAATGTTTGATTATCAGGATCCTGATCCG